TGATTTGTTTGCAGCCAAGAATAGTAACTTCTTTCCTCTGGTGATTTCTCCCCCACACACCACACCGTCCATCCGGCAACTGGCAGCAGCAGCAGGGTGTTCTGTGGCAGCCGTAATTATCCAAACCACCAACATGGTTTCTGCGACGTGCCCTGCACTAGCAACAGTCCGTCCGCCCGCCCGCCTGTTATTCTTTCAATTTATCCTACGCGACGATTCGCCAGGCAGCCAAACATAATAATTTCTCTCCCCGCGCGACCATTTCTTTGATTGGGTATTTTAGGTAACAGTTTACAAGGCAGCAGGGCTCTGTCTCCCTGCCATAGACTAGTTGCACCAAACCATATCCTCTTAGTCGACCATGTCTCATCGAACCCTACCCCCTTATACTCACGACTCACTTGTACGAAAAGACGAACACGTTTTAACTTGTACCCCCATTCCCATATAACTGTACTGGCTCGACGATAATTTATCGAAAGCATACGTATGTTCGCCAATGAGTGTTTTTACTTGTGGCAAGCTGCCAAACCTCACAGCGAGGCCTCGGAATATGCAGCTTTCCTTCTCCACCGAATTTGGTTTGATTTTAAGGTCTCACACCTCAGTGAGTCTCTGGATAATTCTTCTCCTTCCGAGTGGGACTCGTCCCGTCTTCTTGGCAGTTAACTCTGGCAGATCAACGTCTTTATTAACTATTTTTGCTGACCGCTACGGATGTCCGCGAACAGGGGGATTACTATGCCAATGTTTGATGAGTACGGCGTGAAGGGTCTCAAGCATGATGCTGAAAGGCATAGCAACTTTGATCAAGCCTTAGTTGCCTACACCCTGCGGACGTTTCTGATAGCTCCGTGCGTCCTGCGTCTTCGCTGCATCCACTACATCATCCCTGACACCGCCTATGCGTGCAGACGCTCCTACGATTTGCTATGCAGCCAAGCATCGTAACTTCTCTCCTCCCGCGGTGATTTCTTTAATCGGGCATTTTAGTTCACAGTTAACCAGGCAAAGAGATCACGAGGTTAGCAGGATTCATTGACGTCATATAATTTCGCGGCCTCTTATTCCACGGAAAAAAAAGTTCGTTGCCTATTAATAAAATACAGTAAGTGTCAACCTAGGGGTATGCAACTGGATAGGTAAAGAGAGTGGAAGCCATTAGTCTTAGGTGTGGGCGCATGGTGAGGAGGTAGATGATTGGGGGACAGTGTATTTATCTTATTAATAAGGAACGACTGTTTTACAGTTGAATACGAGGTCGCGAAATTATATGAAGTCAATAAATCCTGCTAATCTCATCATCTTTGCCTTGTTCAAATTTCTTCCGGGAAAACTATGTTTCAATTAACAGTTGACTGAGGCCGCGAATGTCTCACAATTGGGTCAACTAAATAAAGCAAATCTGCCAAGCTCTCCCCCTCTAACAATTAAGTGAGCCTAGTAGTCATTCTGGTGGATTCTAGGTGATTGTTGTGGAAATGCTGCCTGGCCAGTCAGCTTGCTGTTCCCGTAATGGGGGATTCCATACGAGCGCAAAAAGCCTTCCCTACTGTGTGGGTTTGACTCCCATTGAGGTCGCGAATTTTTCACATTTGGGTCAACTGAAATGCGACAAAGAACCCTATCTGCGCATGCTACACCAAACCTCCCTACGGTGGATCTATCTCCCCTCTTCTACATCTCTGTATTCGACGACGGAGCAGCCCCTCCCGACTCCTCCTCCTCGCCGCCGGCATTGAGGCCAGCCCGGCGGGGCTCCTGATCCAACAAGGGCTACTAGACAACCAGCCATTAAGGATTCCGGACGGAATCCGAAACGTCAGGAAAATAAAATTCTTGTTCCAGTGGTCGCATCCTCTTCTTTTAAAGTATCTTCTCCCACATATGCGGCTTGGTATTGGGCTTGTCTATAAACAGCTTGCTCCATTTGACGTGTCTCAAACTGGCTGAAGATAAGACTGGGCTCTGTGGTTGAGGAGGCATAACCTTCGCCACACACGATTATTAATGCAATCTTCCGACTGTCATTACCGACACTGGCGAAAGCTTGTGTGCAGTCAAGAGTAGAAACTTATCTCCTCTGGCGATTTCTCCATGTCAATGTAGTTAACAGTTAACATATGGCTGAGTCGAGAAGAAGATGACTTGATCGCTGGGACAATACTTGTATTCGCCTCTGACGTTTCGATATCCGTCCCGGATTCCTCATCAGAGACATAGTCAGAAAGCAATAGCAGATATTGCTATTGCTCTCTGCTATGTGGCAGAGTATTTTCTCCCATGTTGAGTACTGTGCGGCTGTCATCACAGGGTAATCAATTTTCCTAGATCTCACCTGCATTGAACAATTTTGTGTTTTTGAGGTGGCACCTTACTGTGACCAAAACAACTGGTGTATTTTGTTATTGTCTGCACGTCACATACATTTACTTTCAAGTAACCGGCTCAACAGCAGTACGCCCGCAGTGAATTAAGTAAATCACATGTTTTTACCAATTGATTGCTTGCTGAAGTTGTCTAGCAAGGCCCCTGCGTACTTGCACTTGAAGAAAGTGAGTGTGGTTTTTTAAAGTGAGCCAGTCAGCCTGATGAACTCTGAGTGTCAGCTCAATTGCGTGGGCGCAACACGCACCACGTGACGGCTGATGATTGAATGAAAGTTGAAAGTCAGAGCTTAGCCGGGAAATTAGAAGTGTGAACTGCTACTCGCGGGCTGTTTTTTTTTAATCTCGACCATCGAGCTCGATGATGTCTCACGTATGCTCCAAACGGGTTGGTACAGGGACGGTGACTTGCGCTTGTTTCATATTATTATTACTGGCATGCTTTACACTCTTCCACATATGCATGTTTGGTCAAATGTTTGTTCGTAGAAACTTTTATCGATCGTTTTGTTGGACTGCGTTTGTGCACGAAGTAGAAGTGCGTTAGTCGCTCTTTGGTCAGGTCCTACATGTTTACGCAGTAGGCGTTCTTACAACTATCAGACGCTGTTTTCTCAGACCAGCTGCCTAAATTCGGGCCAACTGCTAGTAGCGCACCTAGTTAGAAAGATGATGCTCTGAACTCTGACAAATAGTAGCACCAGTATTACTGCATTTCTTGTTGAGATTGTGGGGATATAAGTCCAGTGCTGCCTTTAACCGGCGTCACTTTCTGACTGATAATACAGCCAGAAATAGTACCAGCAATAGTATCACTCAGGTGTACTCCTACTTAACAGTATTAGAAATATCAGTAGGAGTACCAGTCTTGGTTTCCAGAACTCTGGATTGATAGCTACTGAAGGCGGGTATTTATTCGGAATAGTTTTAACCCACATTCACACTCCCTTCTGGGATCAAGGGGATATGAACAAACGTTCTGTAAAGTCCAAGCTATAGATGGATACTGCAGTAGACCTATAGGTAGTCTACAGGCGGCAAACTGCACGACATAAGGACATGGTAGGACTTGTACATTACTTTACAAACGCTCTATTATTATCCAAATGCTAATCACTATTACCTCACACAAATTAGGAGTGCATGCTGGGTGCGACTCCTTAAAAAGCACACACAGGCAGTACTTATAGTATACTAT